TTTTTATTAAAATCCTGATTAAAATTTCTCTCAAACAGGGCCTAAATCAGTTCATCGATAAATTTAAATCGTTAAATAAGATCAAGTATATATAATTTAAATATTACCTTAAAAGTTCCTTCGAATCGTAATCATTTCTTTTGCCTTCTCATTAGTTGATAAAATAGGTCGAATGTGCATCAACTCTAATAACACGGACATAAGTATGGTCATCTGATTAAAAAAAGCCTTGAATCAACCAACTCACCATTAAAATTAGTTGAGTTTGAATTGGTTTCGATCAGTGTTCTAAAAAGCTCAATTAATTCAACGCTTTAATCCTTAAGACTGTACTAGGAAGCCAAGCCTTAACTGCCCATTTATTTCTTTGTTTCACATAGTTTTAGATTTTACACGTGAAGCATTGGAGAAGTCATGGATTACAAATAGAGGCCGACTTGTACGTACGATGTATTAATACAAGAAATAAAATTGGGTGAATTATTTGTACAGATCAAAGAAAATATTAATTGTGATCCAAAAGCACAAACCAGCAAGAAATAAAGTTTCTGACCATAAATTGAAAAGATGGGCGATGCAGAGGTATCCTCAGTTTCTACACATCACGATGCTACTCCTATTTCTTTCAGAGGAATGCTGCGGACAGAGAAAAATAATAATAACATACAGATAGCCTACAAAATACACACAAATAGGTGGAGCCTTTTTTTGACAATATTTAATGGGAACATAACATAGATCAGATCTTTAAACTTCAAAGTGCAAAAATCAGGTGTAAAGATTTTTTAATCAAAATTCAAGTAATTAAAAATTATACCACCCAAACCCTAATTTCATTTCATCCTCCTCCCTTTTTCCCTCCTTTCCCTCTCTCCCTTGTCTCTCTCTGCCTATCGTGGCGGGCCACCACCAGCCAACTCCCCAAAGCCAGATGACCCTCCCCATGTTCACAATTCATCCCAAAAAGCATCACACAAAACGGAATTAACCACAGCAATATCTGCAGTCGCGAACGAGAAACCAACAGGTTCGAAAAATGCAATTTCTAGCGTCGTCTGGACGACCCACAGTGGCGGACCAACTGGGTCCTCTTCCCCTCCCCAAGACGCACCTTGCCCAAGTATGGGTCAACCTCAATTTAACTCCCAACAGCCTGAATTTGACCTAATTTGTGGCTGCAGAGAAGAGAATGTCCGACAGCTTCGGTTTTCACCATTTTGACGCTTCAATCTTGCTCCAATTTTTCACTTCAGCCAACAAGCATTCAATTAGCAATGGTAAGGCTATGGGTAAGCAACCA